TCTTTCTTTCTTTCTTTCTTTCTTTCTTTCTTTCTTTCTTTCTTTCTTTCTTTCTTTCTTTCTTTCTTTCTTTCTTTCTTTCTTTCTATCTTTCTTTCTTTCTTTCTTTCTTTCTTTCTTTCTTTCTTTCTTTATAGTTAAATACCCAAATTAATTTGATGAATTAGGGTTAAATTGTGTGGTGGTTAAAATTAAAGGATGGCCCCCCCTTTTTAACATTTCAAATATTCGGTGCTTGGAGTTGTCTTAGAAGAAGGAAATTTCGACTTTTCTTATATTATCTTTAATTCTTTCTTTTACAAATCGCTGTATCTACTAAGGCCAACAATATCCCAAATAATTTATTTTCTAATTATAATATAAAATTATAAATTCTCCATTCTATTTTCATTCAAAAACTCAGAATTGCCAAGGATAATTGGTATCATAATGACTTATCCAGATCTCTGCACAAGTAGTTTTTTTTTCTCCATGTTTATAATATAAATATATATTTTTTTATATAGTTATTAATTCATTTTAAAAATATAAATTTGAGAAAGAAAGTAAGGCAAGAAACAAAAATATATAAAGAAAGAAAGAAAGAGAAGAAAGAAAGAAAGAAAGAAAGAAAGAAAGAAAGAAAGAAAGAAAAGAAAGAAAGAAATTTTTGAAAAAAAAATAAAAATGTGTTATATATAAACGTGTTGTGTAACGGTCTACTGATGGGATGATGGTGTTATAAATTGGATGTTGGTTTAATGAGAAATTCTATGAGAATTTTCTCAATTATATATTTAATAATATAAAATTATTTAAAATATATTATATTTACACCTTTAATAATCAATCGAATTGTGTACGAAGGTGGTAGTGGTGTAAATATTCTGGTGTAAAAGAGAAACTTTATAATTATTATTATTATGCTGATTATATAAATATTTTATATATTATTTTTATATCATCATTATTTTTATTCCTTAATCTATCTATATCCTTCTCTTCTCTTCTCTTCTCTCTCTCTTCTCTTCTCTTCTCTTCTCTTCTCTTCTCTTCTCTTCTCTTCTCTTCTCTTCTCTTCTCTTCTCTTCTCTTCTCTCTCTCTTCTCTTCTCTTCTTCTTCTCTTCTCTTCTCTTCTCTTCTAAAAAAAAAATTGATATTTATGAATGGTAATGGTATAGAAATCGATGTTCTAATAACTGAAAGGTAAAAAAAAAATATCTAAAAATTTCTCAATTTATAAATTAATTTCTTTTTATATATATATAGCCAGCCAGTCTGTGCATTTGACGTAGATCTTATGGTAGAAATCCAGTAATTGGAACTAAAAATTTCGCTATCATTTCATTTAAATATTTATCAATTTCGAAACTTGGATCAACCCAGTCAAGATCCATTTTCCTCAGGGCTTCGTTAAAGATGAAGTGTGTCCTTATTTACTCTAAAAATATTGGAATCATAAATAAACAAATCCTCGTCTTATTTAAATCAATTTGATTTCAAGGATCTTGGGATAAATGAGAGGTAAAATTTGCTATTTCTTATTATTACATATTTATTATTTTAATTAAATTTTGGCAATCTCAAAAAAATTTAAAAATTGTATTTTTGAAAACCTACCTACACTAAAATTATGATGTCCACTTGAAGAGTTCTTTGGTATAAGGAAAATCTGTTATTTTTCTTTAAAGTTTTTTTATACAGATAAAGTGGGTGGTTTCTAGGCCAAATTAAAATTTGCAGGGAGAATTCTAGAAAACTTATTTTATATTTTGTCGTAAAAATAATTTCTAATTTTCAAACACGAATTAGATGATTCATAGGCTGGTTAGAGCATTCTCACATCGTGTGATCAAACCTTAGGATCTGGGAAAAAGTGTCCCTAAAGCTTCCTAGAAAATATCAAAAAAGATCTTAGCTGAAAAACCCAAGGTTAAAATAGTGGCAACAACTACTCGGGGAGTAAATACTATATTCTGGAAAGAAAACTCTCAGTATCCCTAACTTAACATTATAAGATATTATGATATTCACTGGCACAAATTCAATGGAAAAAAAATGAGATGAATATTTATTGTATCTTATCATTTTTTTAAAAAAAAATTATATTAAATTATTATATTTATTTTAATGTAAATAAATATATTAATTATATTTTTATCTTCGTTTTAATATGTATTTTTACTTTGACGTATCGCATCAACAACCTATGAATATATATTTGATAAATTTTTTTTAAAAAAAACATTAGAAAGTTTAAAAATATTTAAAAATTTTACACTTTTTGTAAAAAAAAAAGTTGCTAGAAATACAAGAAACAAGCTTGAATATCTCTTTTTATGATGTTAATAGAATGCATTATAAGGATACAACTTAGGAATTTCTAGATCTTTTAGAAAGCGGAGAGCATTATTCTAGGTGCATACCGATTGGTTCAAGGGTTTTAAGCGATGTTCGACTTTGTTGAACAATTAAGGCGCATCAATAGGTGCTTATGATGTTAACTTGATGGCATCTATAAATGGTTTCACCAGTCCTATCCAGTCCTATCACCAGGACTTTATTCGATCCTTTTCGAGTTTGTGCTGATCCAAGGATCCTCGGATTTGCCTTCCCAGCATTTTTATATTGGGGGGGGGGGGGATACTATACTGTTTGGACAGTAGATTGATTGTTTTTAAAATAATATACAAAAGTTACATGAATCCCTTCATTTCTCCCGCCTAAAGGGGAACTTAACTCCAATTCCTTCATAAATACCTTTTCATAAAATTTTATAAATTTTGCGAGAGCATTTTTTTAAATTATTGGTTAAAATATTTGTATTTTTTTTTTATTTTAACCCACCAGATAAGAAAAAACAGATCCATCTTACTATTTCCCGTTAGAAGATAATAACTTACTCACCTAGGAAAAGAGGATTTGTTTTTAACTAAAAAAATGATTAAAAACTTGATGTCCCGCAATACAGAAACCCCCCTTTCTCTTATCCCTTATCAATATCAATTCTCGGGATTAGAACCCCTATTCTCTCCTACTCCCCCCGCGCCGCCATCTTAAAGACGATCTTGAGTTATAACCCCCCTACCCGCGATATAAATTTCCGCTACCATCGTCTTTATATATATATTTTTTTATGTGAATTAATAATCGTTGGTTTCTCAAAAAAATAAACAAACTTTCTTTAAAATAATAAATAAGGGAAACCATATGTTGTTGATTTTTTTTCCCCCGCTCTTAACCACTTAAAAAATTTTTGCTAATTTCTAATTAACCAATAACTGGGAGTAATATCACGTGACTAAAGAACTTACAGTTTTCCGCGGTCTCGTTCATCGACATAGAAAGGAAGAAAGAAAGAAAGAAAGAAAGAAAGAAAGAAAGAAAGAAAGAAAGAAAGAAAGAAAGAAAGAAAGAAAGAAAGAAAGAAAGAAAGAAAGAAAGAAAGAAAGAAAGAAAGAAAGAAAGGAAAGAAAGGTAAAGAGTGTCACGATTGCTTCAAAATTTAATTTAAAAAAACTATATCTAACCACATCAAACTGTCCCTTAAAATATTATTTACGTATTTCTCACTGAAGGTAAACTATGATTGTTTTTTTTTATGTGGGGTATCTTGGAGCTCTAATAAAAAAAAAAAATTTTTTAAGCTAGATTTTATAAAATCTTTGTCCAGAATTTACGAATTAAATATATTACACATTTTTTGTTTTTATCGGGTAATCTTCTCGAAGAATTTAGATTTGATTAAAGCTGCATTCAAAGTGGAGACGTATCCGTTTTTTTACATCCGTTCCGTCAAAAGTCGATCTCATTAAAAATGATATATCCGTTCATAACGCTTCCGTTCCGATACCTTCCGTCTTAAAAACCGACCCGGCAAATTTTTGAAGTCGATACATTTCGACTTTTTGATCCGATAAATTTTGTAGAGCTGTTATTAACGTAACTTATAATTTTATAAAAATTGAAAATCAATATATATATATATATATATATCATTTTTAATGAGATTGACTTTTGACGGAACGGATGTAATAAACGTATGTGTCTCCGCTTTGAATGCAGCCTAAAGCAAATCAATCTTAGAACTGTAAGATTCTCTGAAGTTAGTTCTCATCTTTCTGAGGGCATGGTTCTGACGAAGGCTCTTACATCTCGATTATCAAAGTTTAGAATTTAGATTCGTCCAAAGAAAAATGGCATAAATGGGAAACTAAGCTTTGATTTTATTTTGGAGTTAAATGTAAATAAAGTTTCAGACGAGTTATTTTACCTTATATACATATATATATATATATGTATATAAATAATTAATAATCAAGATAATGAGCTCACTACAATAAATAGGTGGACCTTTAGAAATACGTTTTAAACTATCGTTATTTTTAGTTTATTCAGCATCGGATATACATTTATAAAATCGATTTGAAGATGTATAAATAATTAATATTACAATTCAATTATGTTATTAAAAATTAGATAGGAAATAAAGAAATAAATGAAAAGAATATATTCGAAAACTGTTTTTCCCATTTCTGTAAACGTGGATAATAAACAAGATATCAAAATTTTTATTACATTTTTTTTTAACCTCACCCCCTATTAGTTGCCGCAAATATCTCCCGGAGCTGTTTTAAACAAATTATTACTCCTCTAATTTATATATTACTATTTTTTTCTACACGCAAAATATATTTTATAGAAAGGCATCTAATTGTCGGAATCATAGCTTATCCAAATTAAAGGTGGTGGAAATTTATATTTTCTAGCTATTCGATTTGTTAAAAATTAGGTCTTAGGGGAGTTGAATATTAACTGACCCAGTGAGGCCTTAGGTCCAAAATTAAACTAAACGAAATTAACATTTTATGATAAACCATAATAATTCGATAAACATTTCAAATAATTTTTTTTATTAAAAATAATAACCATTTATATTTATTTTTTTTTTAAAAAACAACTTTGAAAAAAAAAATAAATAATTCAAACGGAGGCTCTAAGCAATAATAGAGAGTTTTAATCACAAATGGCATCCCAGTATATCAAATCTAAGCACAGGGTTTTGGGCTTCGACGACATCCTTAGAGCTGGCCTGCATAGCCATCGCTCTACCCATCATCTTACTCAGGTACTTATTAGTTCCCCACACGTTGGTGTTTATCGAATGTAACTGTAAATCTCTCGGGAACCATTCTAAAACGTGGACCCGTATCGCTTCGGCGGTGAAGGGGTTGGGCGGATACTTTACTCTAGCCCTGGTAATATCCATGGCCTTGAGGTCTTCCACTGTTCTGTAACTCTCCCCCGTTTCTAAGGCGCTGAATATCTTTAAAAATTACAAATAGTCGATGTAAGCCATAGTATATGATTTAATATTGATTCATTTATTATCTAGTTTAACTGTGATAACATAATTTCGAGTCCTTAAATTCTACCAATTAGTTAGTATACAATGTAAACATTGTTACACATTTCTAAGATATTACAAATACGTAAACTTATATTGGAATAAAGTTTAAAATTATATTATTATTAAGATAATTAAGTGTAATTTCTATATACTATATATATATATTTGAAAAATTGAGTTTAATATTTAAAAAAAAACGAATTTAAAACAAAGTTCATATAAAAAACTGACAACTAAACGATTATAAAAAAAATATAGCGCACATTCTATTATAATAATTCTCAAAAAAAAAACGTCGATCAAATTTAGCCAATAGTGTTCTTTTAAAATATATTTGTCCAATGAAAATGATTTTAGCGTAATCGGTCCAATGGCAATCATAAAGAACACAGGTGGTAACCACCCCATTTTAATGAGCTATTATTCATTGTTAGAATTTGATGAATGGTCTTGAAAAAATGGAATATATGTGATTTATGGTATCTTAACCTTACCCTTATGATAGCAATTCTCGAATCTGCCATCTGAGGGTTTTTTCCAAAAAAAAAAATCCTTGAAGTAAAGAAGAAAATTCTGAATCCCCGTCATTCTTGACGGGTTATCATCTAGTATTTATTTAAAAGTTTACAAAAGTAATATAACTGAATTAAATAAAATGGTATGTAAATTTTGTTAAGGCTGTGACCTAAAATATCAAAAATATAATTAATAAACTTTAAAAAAAACGATAAATTTTAAAAAAAAAATAAAAAAAAATCACTTTTGAATAAATATAAAATTGTTCATCAAATAACTTACGCAAAAATATATAGAAAAATTCAAAAAAAAAAAAAATTACATTAAAAATTATATTCTTAATATATAAAAAAAATGAAAGTTGACCTATCAAATACAAACGATTTTGTAAATAATACCGTTAGTCTAAACAGAAGTAGTGGCGTGAATACCGGCTCGATTCAAACCGGTTTTAATAACGGCCAACTCGATGTTTTATATCCGACACGGTTTAACAGCTGATCCATTTTTAAAATCTGTTTATGAGATCAATTTTTTTTTTTTTATAATATTAATTTTGTCTTTAATTCTCTACACACGATAATAACTTAAGAAACGTTGGTTCTAATAAAGAAAAATTGATTCTCATAAACCGATTTTAAAAATCGATCAGCTGTTAAATGGTGTGGGATCGGATCCACTATGAATGCGGCCTTAAAGATTTGGTTCATAAGTTGACACAAAGGTATGGACATCTATTGGCAAAATGTCGGGGCTAAGACAAGATTTTTCCGGCTAAAATATTGAGTTAGCGGTTTTTAAAAGCCGGCTCAACTCGAGCCGGTTAACAACGCTAACCGAAGTGTTGTTTTTCTCATCTTTCGTTTACCAAATATTTAAGTTATTATCGCATTTTTTTTTACCTTAAATTTTAATCGATTCAAAAGATTTAAAACATAGATTTTTTTTTTTAGAATAAATATTCATCCCTTCAAAATATAACGGCTGTTTCAAAAATGGATTTATTCCTAACATATAGATTCGTTTGAACACGGGGGTGCTGAGCGTTGTTAAAATGTCCGTTTATGGTTCGGTTTTTAGATTTAAGATTTCAGGCCAAAACAAATATCGTATAAACATCTCGAGATGCAAAATAAGAAGTCCAAATCTTCTCCGCTCCGCCATGTCTATGGAGCGAAATCTCCGGGCTTACATTATAATCGGTCCGTTTTTAATAACCGCTACCCAAGTCGGGCCGTTTTAACGTACACGGAATGTATCTTGGAATGAATGAATGACTACCCATTCATTTCGGGTGTATGTTAACGTCAACGTGTTTTCAACTTTGAATCACTTTTTTGAGCGAGGTTTTTTTTTAAAAAATTTAAAAATCAGATTTTTCCGGAAATATTATTCCAGCATGTTCTAGAGTTTTACGGCAAAATTGTCTGAACATATGGTAGATTGAAAACATTTCCGGTTAAAATTTAAAAAAAATTTGAAATTCAAAAAAAGGCGCCCTAAAAAATGATATTAAAAAGTTGGAAAAATAACACATTGACGTTAACGTGTTTTCAACTTTGAATCACTTTTTTGAGCGAGGTTTTTTTTTAAAAAATTTAAAAATCAGATTTTTCCGGAAATATTATTCCAGCATGTTCTAGAGTTTTACGGCAAAATTGTCTGAACATATGGTGGATTGAAAACATTTCCGGTTAAAATTTAAAAAAAATTTGAAATTCAAAAAAAGGCGCCCTAAAAAATGATATTAAAAAGTTGGAAAAATAACACATTGACGTTAACGTGTTTTCAACTTTGAATCACTTTTTTGAGCGAGGTTTTTTTTTAAAAAATTTAAAAATCAGATTTTTCCGGAAATATTATTCCAGCATGTTCTAGAGTTTTACGGCAAAATTGTCTGAACATATGGTAGATTGAAAACATTTCCGGTTAAAATTTAAAAAAAATTTGAAATTCAAAAAAAGGCGCCCTAAAAAATGATATTAAAAAGTTGGAAAAATAACACATTGACGTTAACGTGTTTTCAACTTTGAATCACTTTTTTGAGCGAGGTTTTTTTTTAAAAAATTCAAAAATCAGATTTTTCCGGAAATATTATTCCAGCATGTTCTAGAGTTTTACGGCAAAATTGTCTGAACATATGGTAGATTGAAAACATTTCCGGTTAAAATTTAAAAAAAATTTGAAATTCAAAAAAAGGCGCGCTAAAAAATGATATTAAAGAAGTTGGAAAAATAACACATTGACGTTAACGTGTTTTCAACTTTGAATCACTTTTTTGAGCGAGGTTTTTTTTTAAAAAATTCAAAAATCAGATTTTTCCGGAAATATTATTCCAGCATGTTCTAGAGTTTTACGGCAAAATTGTCTGAACATATGGTAGATTGAAAACATTTCCGGTTAAAATTTAAAAAAAAATTTGAAATTCAAAAAAAGAATATAAAAAATAATGATAATGATTAAAAAAATCAATTATAAAATATTAATTTTACGATGTCGTTCTTGGCTTGATCTATAAATTTGAACCATCTTCTGGCACCGCTCCTGAAAGTTATCCTGTATTTGGTGACCAATCTTTTACACGTGTCACACGAGACTTATTATATGTGTAAAATCGTGATATTATTTAATTGTGTCCCCAAAAATAATTTAAGAGTAGCATTTTCTCCAGTATCATGTCGGAATATGGAATTCATAGAGATTCGCAATTTCTCAATTTTGATCCTTTAAAGAAGGAAATTCTTGCGTTCAAAAAAAAATCTAATTTGACCGAAAAATAACAGGCATAATAAAAGGCTCCGAAGAAATTGACACTATAATAATAAAGTGAGTGAGTGTTTCTATAACCCCCCGTGGCTTGCCTTAATTTATTCAGATTACTTCCCTACTGTTGGGAGGACTTAGAGAAGGAGTTGTTCTTATAATAAAGAGAATCCAGGGCCACAATTGATAACGTAATTTGAAGTTTTCCTGTGTAGAAAAGTTTGTTGGCATTCTTATTTCAAAAAAAATCGGCTTAATTTTGCGAAGATGGGCCTCTGCATAATTGATGTGAGTTCCCATATGGGATGAGGGGTTGTAGAGATCGTTGTTTAAGTTATGAAAGTAAAGTAAAAAGTAAAGTAAAGTAAAGTAAAGTAAAGTAAAGTAAAGTAAAGTAAAGTAAAGTAAAGTAAAGTAAAGTAAAGTAAAGTAAAGTAAAGTAAAGTAAAGTAAAGTAAAGTAAAGTAAAGTAAAGTAAAGTAAAGTAAAGTAAAGTAAAGTAAAGTAAAGTAAAGTAAAGTAAAGTAAAGTAAAGTAAAGTAAAGTAAAGTAAGAAGTAAGTAAAAGTAAAATAAAGTAAAGTAAAATAAAGTAAAATAAAATAAAGTAAAGTAAAGAAAGAAAGAAAGAAAGAAAGAAAGAAAGAAAGAAAGAAAGAAAGAAAGAAAGAAAGAAAGAAAGAAAGAAAGAAAGAAAGAAAGAAAGAAATGATTTCAAAATAAGAAATTCCTTAAATCTTATGAATTCCATGTCCCAAAATATTAATAAATTGGGATCAATTTAATAATGACTTTTCAACAAGTTAATATAAATTCAAAATACTATATAGCTACTTTTCTTTTTCTCGAGTCCACCCCTAGTGACGAATGCTCTGATAAGGGTCGGTTCTGGGAAGTTAATCTCTATCACGTGCTCGAAAGGCATTTTACCCTTGCTTCCTTCTTTTCTGACACCCTTTTTACCATCTTCCTCCGTTACTTTAATACCAGCCGTTTCCACAGTGTTGAAGTTCCAACCAAAGCTATTGTCGTATTTCACGAACTCGATGGGTCTGAGATGCGTTTCCTTCAAGGTAGGTTGGAGTGCATTATACACGTAAACGCGCTTGGCGTGGGTTCTAAGCCACATGTTTTCTATGTGGCCCAACTTTTTTCCGTTGCTCTGTAACTTCGATAGAGCCGCGAGTTGTTTATTCATAGCTCTAACACTGTAAGAATCGGCATGTTTTACCCTTCCCAAAGGAAAAAAGTCTAAGAGAACAAAGTTATCAGGGGTCAACCAATCTATTAGACTGGAGTTGTCGGCACTGTGACACTGAAAACCTTCGGCAGAGGGTGGGTATGCTTTAAATAATTGATAAATATATTCATTATCCTATAAAACAAAATTTTTTATTTTACTTTATTAAATCTTGTAGTCGATGGAATAAATTTAAAAAAAAATGTCCGCAATAGTTGTAATAGGGTTGAATGTTTATATATAGCATAATTTTATAATTTACTATATCACACATTCTTATATTATATCTTAACATAGAATGCCAATTGATTCATTGTTTTGTGAACCAATTTAAAGGGGTTATCAAAATTTTCGGGTTATTTATTGTTGTCATAGAAGAAGATATCTTTTGCTGATAAATATATTCAAAAAAAATTCTAGATATCGTGATTAAAAATATTGATAGGTGTCACTTCTTTCGCAATCTATCCCAAAAGTGTAAGGTTGGCATGTACACGTATACCTCTTTGGCGGCATAAAATTTTCGCAGTACGCGTTATTCTGACAGACCGATAAAGTACACTCGTTAATGTCTTTTACGATAAAAAAATATAAACTTATCAATTTTTTATGTATATATATGTGTAAGCGGAAATGTGTTTTTTTTTCCGGCAATGTGTTACCTATTTTGAGCGCGTTTTTTTAAATTTAAAATTTTGAATTTTACCTGAAGTGTACTCCACCATGTTTCCCTATCTTATGAATTGGAAAATAATTTTTACCGATGAAATTTGAATCATTTATAATCTATATAAAAAAATAAATATGAAAAAAAATTTAATATAAATTATATGAAGTTTTTCAAGTTCGCGGAAAAATTGTTTGAAATTCATAGGGTAAATATTCCGAACATGACGGCATACATTTCCGGTGAAAATCAGATTTTTAAATTTAAAAAAAAACGCGCGAAAAAATAAGACATTGCCGAAAAAAACACATTAAACGCGAAATTGTAAATATTTGGAAGAGTTCCCTCTTTTTCTGATATCACCTAGAAATCATCTGTGAGGGGAGTTTGAGCCGCTAATGTTGAATCCTAGGCTAAATTTGGCCCATAAAATTCTAAAGGGTGGGGGGTGACCAAGTATATGAAATATGAAATTTACACGCGAATGCAAAAAGAATGTCAAATGGTAATATAGATGGAGCAAATAAACTTATATTTTCAGACAAACCAACTTTCTCCTATATTAACTAAGAAACATCGCTACTATTGAAACAACTTTACCCCGCTTTTAAATAACCTCTTCCCACAGTTCTATATCAAGGTTTTATAAACTTTACTATAATGACATGTAAAAACTCATCAAATTCTCCAGAGCCCGCTAATCGCCTTAACCTCAGAGGATTAATTGCTAAAATTATAATAGAACTTATCAAAGATGATGCCATCAACATTATATAACCTCTGATCAACTATGTTTCGGACAAGCAAGTTTGCGAAATTGAGGCTCACACTTTAAGAATTTATATTAGAAACCCCTCAGCTGACTTAATTTTCAAAACCCCTTAAATAGCCTACATAGTATCTTTAACTTTTCCCTGCTACTCTAACTATATTGCATCCCGATTAAATCAAATTTGGGTTATTTTTTGTAATTGATTCTAATATCACCATTTTATTCCTAAAAAAAAAAATAGGCAATTCCAAATGATTGTTTAACAATAGACATCTTATTGTTGATCCTTCAAAACAACCGATTATATGATACTTTATACATTTAAATAAAACTGAAACCTTTGTCGCAGAATCTTCCTTGCCAACCTTTGTAACATTCGCATTTAAAGTAATCTTCTAGGCCACTGCCTACCGGAGTGACAACTGTAGATGAAGCATTGGCAGTAGAAGGAGACACACTTGAAACCGGCTGAGAAGGGTTACCTGAAGATAGATCCACGCAATCTCCATTCGAGCCACAAAAGTCCACCCCTATATAATACGGATTGCATTCGTCCCGCGTACCTTTAGATATAAAATTTACACAAACTGACATTTCAGCCTGAAAAATGAACGAAAAACAACCAATCTATTAGAGTATCTTTCTTTCTTTTATCCCTATAAATTAATAAAAAGTCTTTGCAATCAAAATGCCAGACGATGGAAAGGTATATGGCGCAGGTTTGATCTGGACTAGACTGAAGGTCTTACAACCCGCTAAGCCCTCAACAGCTTATGCCGGTCCGTTTCAGATCTTTTGGCGCGAGCACTGCAAATCCGTGAGAAAATTCTGGTCGGGCTAGCTTTTTTTAGGATCGGGGATTTTTTAAAAGTTTCTCTTACACATATCAAAATACAATATTAATCAGATATTCGCTCTATACGAGTTAAATATCGATTATTGATTATTTCATTTAAACCTCAAATAGGTATAATTTAAAGTCGGGAGGAGGTGGGTTAAAAATAGACATTTAAAATTAAATTTTCAGTAGAGATCCTGAGAGGCCAACCCGCCGGAACCCGACCCGAACGGGTTTCGGCGAACGGGTTTCGGGCCGGGCTTTATATTTTTTAAAAAAAATCGGGCCGGGTTAAAAAATAAATTGTGCCAGAGCTTGAAGAATAAGAGCCCTACCTAGACTGCCGATACATTCATTAAAAGTGTATACAATATAAAAAAAACAGCTGGGGACGCCATTTTGGTTTACCCATATCATTATTTAAAAAAAAATTAAAAGAGATGTCAATTTATTACTGTGTTTGACGCAAAATTTGATAATAATTACCATATGGGTTACCAAAATGGCGGATCCAGCTGATTTGCATTCAACGACGCTTTCAAAGGCATTATCATGATGCATCGTCAGTCTAGGAATTATTATATGTCATTGGCCCTACGCAAATCGCTAATTTGCAGTACTCAATTGTGCAACTTCGGTTAGTTTTATACGAGACGACTATGAGGTTTATCATAAAAATACAATAGCCGCCATTTTCAAATAGGATACGATATACTCAACCGTGTTTCTCGTTCTTAAACTCCCCTCGTCTACAATTTTTTATAATATATATTATTTTTTTAAATCGAAGAATATTACTTACTCTCGCTAGGAGCGAGCGGTGGTAACTTCTTGTAAATCTTTATCCTTGTTTCTAACGAATTTCTCCTATTTAAAAATTTTATCGAATAAAAAAAATTTAAAAAAAAAACTTAAATATTGCGGCTCTCGAAGCGTTTAAGTTATTTCCAGGAGAGGCAGAACGTTTTTTTCATAGCGTTTTTTAAAAAGGCACGTTTTCCGCCAAATTATTTTATTATATGTCCAATGAAAGGTAGATAATTTGTGAAAATTATAACTTATTTCGTAAATTTAATAATCATTTTTTGACTTTATTCGTGTAATAACTTCTCATTCGAATCAGATAAACTTATTTAAATATATGGAAAATAGACAAAAAAAAATTATTTTGTCGAATTGATTTATTTTGTGTAATAAGTTATATATTTTTTAAGGAAAATGGGTGTTCATCACAATCTCTACCAGATACCATTTAATCGTAAATATTAAAGGATAAACGAAAGGGCTTGATTTTAAATGTATATTATTATAAGGGGGAAAATTTTTTTGATACGTGATAGACGTGATTTATAGTGCTTATGGCTCTCTATCTCTGAAGGTTCAACAGAGCTACGCTAGGTGTTCCTCATTTTCCATCTAACTGGACTAAATTCAGTTGGATGAAAAAAATTAAAAATTCTGAGGAGCCCTCAGCTGCGTTTGTGGGCAAGCCGCGCATACTCGGAAGCAACAAGAGTCCGAGAACTGTTATTTAAAAACCTCCAATAGGTTGGAGGGAAATAAAAAGAATATACCCCCCCCCCCCCGAGAACTTCAGTATTAATTTAATTACCTTACGGGTGGGGAGGTGGCCTGATTTTTAAATTATATTCCTTTTAGTGTAAGTCTTAAAATGATTACTAATCGATATTGAGAGATGAGATTTAATGTTCGTATCAATTTAATTTTCGATTTTATCCTAAAAAGAACAAAAAAATTTAATATAACATTATTTAACTTCCGGTGAAATAAGGAATGTTTCAATTTTTGATATTCTAGTTAAGATTAAAATGGCTGAAAAAAGTAGTTTTAGATTATAACCTTTTAATCCTTACATTCTATTTTTTGTATAATCGAATTTAATGATTGATAACTCTTCTCACTAATGATTGATAAATGTCAAGAAGTAATAATTCGTCATAAATTAATGATTTTAACATATAATAATTCTTTAGAAAAACCCCGTAAAATAGTTTCGGAAGGCTTGCCTCATCATATTTTTACCCTTCCTATCAGCGCTCGCCCATTCCTTCATGTGCCATTCATCGGTATTGAACACGAGCGGAGAATCTGGGTCCCAATCGTCACGCTTTGTGCTGACCCTTTGTCTAGATCTGGGAAGGTTTAAAACGCCTTCCTCGTTTCCGCAACTTTGTAAAATGAATATTTTTTGGGGGATATTTATTTGAGTTAAGTTTGTAACGTATAGATTATTGCTTTTTCTCCAATTTAAAATTAAAAAATTCTAAAAAAAGGATATGCACAATTTAAAGCTTGGATCGGATATTTACATTGCAAGATACAATTTCAAATTTGTATCGTTTTGTAACTTATTTCACAAAAAATTCTAGTAATACCTAGTAGTTTAAAATAATATTTTCATCTTTACTACATGGATCTTTTCTTAGATACGATTTGGTAATTGCTAAAAAATCGGTTAATTACACGTAGCCTACAGGTGCTTATTGTAGAAAACGCCGCTAAGTAGCATTCAAACGAAATAAATGGATTTATTTAATGCCGAGTTAGTATTTAAAAAAAAAAAATCACAAGTGGAGGGGGGGGGTGGGTGTTATTTTAGCTTTAAAAAAACAGATTTAAACCGTTTTTGAGTTAGCTAAAAAATCACCCAAAACGTCCATAAAATAGATCTACCAAAGGGTGGGAAGATATACGCTAATATCAGTAATTAGAAAGCGGGTATATCATTAAATCTTTCTTACTTTATTTCTTTTTTTCTGTCACCCCCAGCCCAGCCCCACCTCCCCCTCCCCCTCACCCCTTTTATCCACTGGCATCTTTTCCATCTAAAAATAAAAACTACTCAACTGTATAATCTTCAAATAAAAATATACCTCGTTATACGAATTTCACTCAATAACAAAATCCATAAATAAAACAAATTAGGATAATGGAGTAAACAGTGGAATTTTCATTTCCATTTTAAAAAAATTCAAATTATGTTAATAAAAGATTTAAGAAGAAAGCTTGATATATAAAATATATAATTTTTCTAAAATCAATTTTAAGCATAAAAACACAAATTAAGTTGCAAATATTGATTGATTATTTACTTAAAAATAATAAATTATCGATTGTTGCCTGATCAAAAAAAATATCAATTGATATTCTAATTCTTTTCAGAATTATCTTTTAATGTGAAAATTGTGAAATTTATTTTCCTATGGGAATAAAAATCAAAGTATAACGTTAACTTTAGCGTGGTAATTGATAGATTATCTCAAGGAATTACAATTCGCAAAGTTAGGCATCCAAATAGTCTAGTAAAATAACATTCCAATCTTGGCCATTATTTTGCAGCATATATTTATATCAATGATGTGTGTGCGTACATAGATTAGCGATTCGTTCATAAAATTGTATTTAAGTGTCCAGACATAGAAATCAGCTGTAGCGCCATTTTATGTTTTGCACGACGATTAAAATGAGATTAATGTGCATTTATAATGATAAATATGCTCAATTAGTTGTAATGGTAACCTAAAAATAACGCTACAGCTGACACTCCTATGTACGTAGACTTTTAATTGATGAATTGACAATCTATTAGTAATTTATATATATATATATCACAATACTACATTAATACATTCTGATATATACACACTCCGTTCTTAAAGCAATACCATGCGAATTTGTATCTAACAAATAAAAATTTTTGTTGTTTTGCTCTAGCTAGATTTAAAAACCGGAAATGGAAATTAATTTTTCAAAACGCGCTATGTTAGTTTCCTTAGAAGGCCCCGTGAATTCTTGGATCTCCTCCCTGAAGATCAACTCTGAAAAAATAATACAATGTATTTAAGGTAAACCGTCAGCTACCTCCCAGCCTAAACAGCCTATGGAATCACTATTGTAACTCATACGTTAATAATCAATCAGAGAAACATACAATTAGGTTATAAACCGCTATAAGAAATATACCTAATTAAATTCATAGCAGAAATTCAAACAATGCTATAAATGACACATTGAATTCTAGTATTCAATTAGCCATATAAGATATATGGCAAATAATTATATTTTTTTTAAAAAAATTACCTTATATACTAAATTGAAACAAGGTCAGTATATTAAACTATTTCTTAAGAAGATTTTTTAATATTATCCCATATTTGAAGATCACTACAAATCGACTCCTAGCAGTTGTATATATAATAAAGACGTTCTGGGGGATGAAGTAGGTACAAAAGTATTGCAAAGTTGCTATTTTCAATTTTCATTTTTATAAAACTCTTTCACATTTCTTAACTTTTATTCTCACCTAAAAGCATAAATTATTGGACATGATTTCTCATGAGTTTGGGTTATTGTTTAGCAAGTTGTTAAACTATGACAAAAATTTTTTAAACCTTTTTTTAAAAAAACCGACTGTCTACCCATTTTCACTATAACTATAACCAAACCCTTAACTTGGTTAAGAGATTGGTTTCATATTTAAAAAAAAATTAATTCCACCGGAAATCACCTGATATCCTTCATATTCATATTTATAAACGAAATCCTTTGAGCCCCCAAATTACAAATAATTTTCTATAAAAATAGGGACTTTTCTATTTTAAACCTCTCAATCAAACTATGAATATCATTAATCTTATTTGACTATGCCCGTCTTCGCGATCTTATTATAATTTAAAAAAATTTATCGAACGACAAGTATAAAACAATATATATAAAGATGTAAGAGTAAAAATCAAATATATTTAGTATCTTTAATATGATTTGTTGATATTCTACATTATTATTGGTTTAAATTCTTTTGATAAATGGCTTTTTATTATTATTAATCTTTTTTTTTTGAATTGGCTAAAATTTTGTTTTTAACAATTTAAACACTTTAGCATGTTAAATATATATCGTGAATATGGCGTACGCTAGATTAAATTGTATTATTTTTTTTGTTTAAATTTAATTTAAACATCTTTTTACTTCAATTTTCCTTTTTCACTTTGGGTTAACTTATGCGTTTTAAATATTTAGATAAAATTAACTTTATTTCAATAACATTATATATGTTAGCGGCATTGGTGGTTTTTCCGGAAGTGTGTTATTTTTTCAACTATGAATAGCAATATTTTCTGTCCTTAATAACGTGGGGCCTTTTTATTCCGATGTGGATGCCTATTCTCCATTCAATAAGTCTTAAGGTTTAAAAAATAAGATTTATCATCAAAGCACTGGGTTTAAAAGTTAAAATCAAAGCATATTGTCCCCCAAAAAAACTTCCAAAAGTAAAATTTTATCACAGTAGTAATTATAAGTGTTACTCCATTTATATACCACCAACCTCTAAAAAACTTCTAAAAAAATAAGCCTAAAACAAGAAAAATTAACTCCTTTAAAACCATATTGTACTTTTTATCACATATTTAAATTTGTTCAATTAAGATAATTGAAGTCCCTTAAACCCATACCTTACTGTCTAATCTTTGAATTTGTTTAATATCTAACTATTTATTGTAAAATAACTTTTATAAAATCACTTTATTGAATTTCACCCCTCTTGTTTCTTTTTAAATGTAAATAAATTTTCTTTATATGTTTCACAATTCAAAATTAACTTTAATTTTATAAATTTATTTATTTAGAATTTAATTAAGTAAATAATTAGTATATATAAACAATTACTCATTTCTATATTCAAAATTTTAACATAAACATCAAAACACCTTACCCGTCACTTTTTAACTTTCAATCATTGAAAATTCTAGTTATACGTCATCAACAGAGATGAGATGACACATCATGGATCACCGATAGGGGGTGAAAAGGCCATCGAAACTTACTAATCCCTTAATAATTTGTCTAAATAAAGCATATTATTTAATTATCTCCCCGCCTGTCAATCCTTTCTTAATCAAATACTATTTTAATATACCCAAAATCATCAACTCCCTGAGATCCTCGTCGAACTACAGCAGTCATGGGCCTCCTTAAAAATCTCTTAAACTTAAAATTTCCCAATTAATCCTAGCTTCAAGTCGCCCTCCCAAGAAGTTTGTTGGTATTGGTATCCGATCCCCGCTAGAACTTTCCCTTTTAGCCTATATCACATCTCGCCTGGCTGCTCACTTTATTATCAATAATGTATCCACTCTTATAGATCCTGACCTTTCCCACCTAACTTTTCGGGACAGCAATTACCAATCTACCCTATGCCGTCCTGCTTCCAGCATTCAAAAAAATGGAATGCTCCTTTGATCGCCCGTTCCTTTGAATATCTAGAGGTCCTTTGACAAAAATCCCAATAACATAATATTATATGTAAACTCAGGCTATGAATAGTTTGTAGCCATCTCAACTTCCAATCTTGATCTCCTCATGACTGGCGAACAGCTACATATAACCATAGCCCATCGTCGGCTCTAATGTTGTAGTTCCCTTTATTTATATCGATTGTTGCCAGCCAATTAAATCGAAAGCTCACCATCCCTTGCACTGCAAGTTCTCCCGACAACCTCGTCATTAATCTATAACAGTCCTTAAAAAGTTATCAATTAGCTTTACAAATGAAAACGTCATACGCCAATGATATATCACTCATATCCTAGACTAATGGTCTCCCGCTTACTTGGGACTCTACTTGTGTCAATGTTGCAGCAAAGTCCAACTTCTCATTTTCTGCCAACTGGCCTCACTAACGCTGTGTTTATACCAATTGTAACCAATACCCTAGGCATATTCGGAAATGAGGCCCTCAATATCATTAAAATATTAGATAAAAAATGAGACAGATCTCGGAGGGCCCCAATAAAAGATTTTACCTTCGTCAGCAGATTTCTCTTGTAATCTACCAGTCCAATTTTTTAAGCATTCACTCTACTCTAGGGTGATATGAACCCTTTTTTAATATATTTTTTCTTATATATTTTGTATGTTTTTCTTCATAGGTTATATACATATATTTTTTTATATATAATTTTTATCATATCCTTATTTATTTTTTAAAAGATACTTTTAATTCAATAGTGATAAATATTAATATTTTACCCAATGATATAATAAATATCATTGGTTTTAGCTTTTGTAAATAAGTTTTTATGATAAAGGTAGAGTTCATAATTGTAAATAAAAATAAATATAATAATATACTTTTTAATACATTTTATATAAATTGATTGTCCATGTTTAAAATTCAAATAATTATTAGTTTTTCAATTTATAACGATAAAAAATGAATAAAAATAAACATATGATGTTTCTGGCGCGCTTGGTAATATATGCAAATCATGAAAAAACAGTGCACGCTTATCGTGCATTATCATTAGCCTAACTATTATCTATCATTTTTTTAAAATTCTAGATGTACATCGATTTTGATCAAGTTAGTACTTCGAATGTATTTATTGTCGGAGCAGGAGGAATTGGATGTGAATTACTTAAAGATTTAGTTCTTACCGGATTTTCTAATATACATCTAGTAAGTCATCTTTGATTGAAATAAAATAATAATTTTGATTAGATTGATTTAGATACCATTGAAGTAAGCAATTTGAATCGACAATTCTTATTTCAGAAATGCCACATTGGAAAATCTAAAGCAATTGTAAAAATTTAACAAATGAACATTTAGTTTTTATTTATTAAAAAGGTGGCTAGAGAAAGTGTTCTAAAATATAGACCACATTTAAATATCATAGCTTATCATGATTCCATAACTAAGTATTTTATTATAAAGTAATTCATATATAAATTTGTTTTTTCAGCCCTAAATATGATGTCAAATTTTTCAAACAATTTAACTTAGTCTTAAGTGCATTGGATAACATTAGTAAATATTATATATATCCATTTTTACCATGTTTTAGACATGTGATAATATGTGTTTATTTTAGGTGTGAGATATCACCTGAATAGAATGTGCTTGGCTGCCAATGTTGCATTGATTGAGAGTGGAACTACTGGTCTCTTAGGTCAAATAAAGCCAATTTTTAAGGTAATATTAAACCTTCATTGTCCATTTATATTTTAAATGAAAATTATATGCTTTCATTATAATTTTTTTTTTTAAATCTTGGAGAAAGGAATTAGGAATTTATATGCTTAAATTACCCATTTCTTTGAATCTTATACAACCTATAGATTCTCTTTCACTTTTTCATTTTTATATAGTCTGAAACTGAATGCTACGATTGCCTTCCCAGGATTTTAGGCAAGGTCAACTATGCTAGTTGTACTATTAGGAATACCCCAAGTGAGCCAGTTCATTGTCTTGTTTGGGCTAAGCATCTATTCAAGTAACTTTGATTCATTTTTCTTCCGCTTATTATGATTTCAATGATTTTTTTTTTAAAACACCTTTTTATTTAAAGTATTTTGCATATAATTACTATTTATTTGATTATATTGAAATATATCATTTTAAAAATAACTAGTTATATGTATCCAATTTTTTCATTGGGTCATATACCAATATCACATCTTATAATAAATATCTATCAACCCTTATGCAAACAATGTAAATTTAATAAAAAAAACTATTTATATTAGAAAATCTTTAGAAATAGAACAAATATAAATTATTTGACATAATTTGACGTTTTATCAAGAGATAATAATTTTATGATTTACCACATTATATTTTAAACAAAATATATAGATAAATAATTTTTTGTTTTATAAATCTTCAGTTTTTTAAAATTAAATATATGTCATTGAATGCAAATCAGCTGGGCCCACCATTTTAGTATCCCATATAATAATTATTCTCATGTATAAAAACTACTATTAAATTGATAACTTGCTTCCTTATTATCGATGATCAGGCATCTTTATTAAAGTTGGCGTTCTGACACAGGAATGCCTTCTTGTTTAAAACTTTTAATAAAGATATGGGTAACCAAAATGGCGTCCCCAGCTGTTTTTCATTGATGTTAACACTTTTAATGAATGAATGCATCGTCAGGTCTATGTATTATTATATGTCAACTTTTTATTTACGACCATACATGAATCACATCTCTTAAATTTCTAAAGAAAACAATCGTATAAAAATAACCCCTTCCCTTTATGGGGTTGGGTCTCTTCCAAATTAGTTTCCACGCTTTTCAAGCAAATTTATTTTATTTTTAACTTTTTTTTATATATAGTGTGCTATTTGGGAACGAGAGTGATGAAGACATTATATCCCCGGAAATACAGAGTAAAATGATTTGATAATTATTAATAATCGATTAAAAATATTTATAATACCCCTTATAGTTAGCTTCTTCTATACCAATATACGGCTCCTTCGATCAAAAAATTTGATATTCATGCTTATGTTTAGTTTTTTATCTAAATGTAGCATTTTTATTTTGGAAGTAAAATAAAACTATTAATGAGAAGATAATATTGAATTATGAGAAAACAAAATACATTTTATAACCCCTTATATAAATCCTAAAACCATTATAAATTTAGCTCGTATTTGAACAGTTTTATTTTTGTTTAAGTTTTGTGTTTTGTTCTGCTTTGAGCACTATTTATAAGTCAGACATATTTTTTTAATATCAGGGATTGTTACTAAATCTTGAAATCATTCATGCTTGAGTTTTTAGCAGAATTTGCGACATTATGGATTGGTAGCTACTAGCATCTTATCTCCATTAGAGGTCACGAGCCCATTTCTAACAATGCTGTCTTATTTATAATGTTTATGTCAGTATATTAATTTTCTCAACTCTTTAAAATTATCAGATTATAAAAATATTGAGACAAAGGGAAAAAAATGAAGATGTTTTTTTTCTATTATGGGAGATCCTTAACCATTTTACAAGTTTTTTGAAATGATTTTATATAGCATATGTTATGTACCTATATAAATATCAGAGATCCACAGAGGTACCATTTGAATGGCCCGGCATGGTTTTTTTTTCAGAGATTTTTTTCGCCCTGGGTTTTATATTTTCAGGACCATCAAGACCCGGATTTCAGCCTGGATATTTATAAAATAAAAATTCAGGCCCGGCCTGGGTGTATTTATAAAAAGTAAAATACGGTCCGACCCATGTACCCGGGCTTAGAGGTGGGCCTGCAGGTTTCTGATAAATATTTTAAGGTAGGAAGGTCAGCTAAAAATCTACCGCAAATATAACCAGAATATTCGATAATTATAAATAAGCATTTCCTCCTATTAAATATTATTCTTATTCCTATATAAGAATATACATATAAAGTATAAGGGGCCAGTGCAGCTCTCAGAAAGATTCTAGGCATGAAGTTTTACAGAAAACAAATTTAACAAAAATTTCCACTCATCAATATAGGTTTACGTCATCCCAATTTCTTATATAATATAAATAGACATTGGGTTTTTTTAAAAAAAAATGTACAGTTCCATCTACACAAGATAATCAGGAGAATCATAATGGCACAAATGAGCTGCCAAAGAAAGGAGAATCATCCGATTCCAGCCAGATTCAGGGGAAGACTAGTTATTCTACGCAAGAATGGGCCAAAATGTACGATTACGATGCCAAAGCTCTTGCTATGAAAGTATACATTTAAATGTAGTTAAGTGGAATAAAACAATGGGAGGGGGGGGGGAGGATAGGGGTGGGCTGTTTGTATAATAATTTAACTATGATATCCTATAAATAAATACCTAGCTCACAGCAAGCCTTTATTACCATACACGTTTTCTGGGTTGGGTGGGGATATACTAGAAAAATCTTTATAGAATTCTTGTACCCTTGTTTATATAAAAATACAAATATGTTGTGTATTATTTCATTTAAAATACTTTTATATGAGGATTGTATTATTTATCAATAAATAATTGCAATTTATCGATGCTTTCTGACCTTATTTTTGACCTTTTTATTTTATATATTATACTTGGATTCTTAGAGTTATATACTCAAACTTTTTGTAACACTATTTTCTTTTTCGTATAAACTAGAGTTGTTAAAGGATCTAGATACAAGTATCTAGATCCTGTATCAAGATATAAAAATGTGGTATCTGTATCTAGATAGATCTTTGATTAAAATATCGGTATCTAGATATTATTATAGACGATGTATCCTGTATCTAGATCCATTTAAAAAGTATCTTTTAACAACTCTGCTAAAAATATATAATGATATAATTTCCGCAATTTTTACAAAACAATATTATATAATAATTAAATCTCTATTTTTCTACAATACAAACACAAATAAACAAGGTTGTGCATTTGACCGGTCAAATTCAAATATATGTTTTTTTAAGTTAAAATTAACTTTATTTTGAATATAATGGAAAAATGAATCTGTATTATTAATTTTTTTAATTCATTGTCATTAAATAACTAACGTTTAGCTACCCGTAGCAGATTCTTGTTCTGATTCATATTCAATATTATTATTTTCTTTAATATTTTTTAATCAATTTTCCTGATGTCTAAGATCTTCAATCGATATCTATTTTCATAAGAATATTTACCCAAATCGGCCTATTTCTTTCTAAAGAAGAAGTAGAACTAGGAATTATTAACCTCTTGATGGGCAAAGTTTAATCTATTAACTTGAGGTCGGAATTGTTTGTTTTTGGAAATTACTACTTTCCTAATTCGCTATATTAAACATGCTGTTTTTCCTTCTGAAATTAATAATATCACTTAAAATAATTTGGTCATCAGTCATCACTATCTTGTAAAATAGCTAATTCTTGAATTATATAACATACTCATTGAATTCACTACTAGTAAGATTCTCCTCTTGATATTGTGGACCCAAAAAATAAGCAAACATTGTGATCACATGTATTTATATCGTTTTCCCCTTTTTTAAACATATTTTTAATTATTTTCCTTTAAATTTCTTTTAGAGTATTTGACCGTATTTGTCCCAAATAGTCCTCCAGTCAATTGAACGAAGTTGACTGGTCAATTGACCGACTTGCCAACCCTGCAAATAAACACATATTTTTAATAATAATAAAAAAAATAATAATACCCCCTTTTCAAGATAGAACATGGGGTACATGTAAAAATTAGCGATATAAAACCAACTACATATATATTTTTTTTAAAGTTAATCAGAACATCTTCCATATTATCCTGAAATTCCCTCAGTTCCTGTCACAATTTCATTCGGAATCCTCAAATCTGAATTAATAGGTTCCCTGAATTCATTCATCAATCCCTGCCTTGATTGAATCATATTGTTCGAATATCTTGACATCCCATTTAATGAAATCATTCCATTTGTGTTCTTCTAGGTTGTCCGTCATGTGCCCACCTATTTATTCCATTGCTAAGAGACATCTCCCGAATCCTACCACTTGGACATTCCCTAGTTTTATGTCCCTTTCCACTACAATCGAAACTTGTCAACTTTATCTGCAACTCCACATTTCGCCTCGCCGGCATATTGGATATATTAGACCATTCACCATTCCCAGACCCCATTCAATTTGACGATGAAGGACGATTAGAGAAGGCTACTCCTACTCCTATTTGTTGCCTAATCCAATTTGTCGTGCCATACATTTGATAGCGGATTGGAAATGTCCAATGAATTCATTCGCAACATGGTACGTAGTGTTGTTAAACGGCTCGTTTTGAGCCGATTTTAAAAAAACGGCCAACTCAATACTTCATTCAGAATAGTATTACGCAAGCCTGAAGATTGTAGAAGGAATTGAGGTCCAGACATCTATTACCGAAATCTCGAAGCTTAGGGTATTATTGTCTGGCTAAAATATTGAGTCAGCTGTTTTTTAAAAATCAGCTCAATGCATTTTATATAGAAAGTATCCTCTTTTTTTTTTAAATTAATTTTCACAGTTTTATTACAAAACAAACTACTTTGTAAAGATACTTCTTCTTTATAAAAAAAAACAACTTTACAACACATTTTCTCATAACAAACTTTATAAAAAAAATTTTTTAACCAAACAACATCATTTATTATCTTCATTTTATTGTTTCTTTCTTCTCTTACCCTTATATTTCCGATTATTTCTCTATTTCACTACCAGTTGCCTTTTCGCAATTTACAACCTCTTCAAATTCAATCCACACTCAAAATAAATTTTTTTCCTTCCCATTCAAAGAAATCTAAATGGACCCTCTCCCAAGAACCTCTACATTTTCTCCCCTACTATAACCCTTTTTTCAGGGGCATATTAGACCAGGCATTACAAATTTCACAACTTTTACCAAAATTATTAATTTCTTCATTCATCCCAGGCCACCATACATATTCTCTTCCCCATTGTTTCATTTTCGCTATTCCTTGATGACCGGCATGTAGCATATTTAAAACTTTTTCTCTCAATTTTCTGGGTACAACTACTCTATTTCCTCTCATTAAACAATCATCATCAATTCCGTTGGAAAGGGACATAAAGCTAGGGAATGTCCAAGTGGTAAGAGCCAACAGATTTCTTTTATCAATGGAATGAATAGATGGACGCATGATGGACAACCTAGAAGAATACAAACGGCCAGAGAAATGGGAGTAGTCATTTCATCAAATGCGATGTCAAGGTATATGAATACGCAATCGAGAAATGGATTGATAAATGAATTCCCGGAAGTAGAAGTTCCTATTAATTCAAATACATTGAGAAATACCGAATTAAATTGTGGTAGGAACTGAGGGAATTTGATGTGATAGGGAAAATGTTCTCATTAACGCACCGTTAATGCTTGTTTTGATTAATTTTTTTAATAGTTCTAACACTATTTAAAAAAAAGAAGTATATGTAGTTAGTTTTATATCTATCTTGAAAAGGAGGGGGGGGGGGGTACGTGTTCAGTAATTGTTTATTTATTATTATTATTTATTAAAAATATATGTTTATTTTGTGTTTGTATTTGTAGAAAAAATAGAGATTTTATTATTATATAATATTGTTTTGTAAAAAATTGCGGAAAATATAGCATTATATGTTTTTATTAGTACATACTAAAAAAATAAAAAATAAAAATAGTGTTAAGATTTTGAGTATAACTCTAAGAATCCAAGTATAATATATAAAAAAGGTCAAAAATTTATCTGGATTTTATTTTGTGAAAGTATTTTTTTTAAAAAACAAGACTAACACTGGTAACAGGTTATAAAAAGTATTATCTTAGACATATGCTCAACCCTGTAGGTTTTGCAGGGCATTTAAATGGATTCTGCTAGTCCTCTAAACAGATAAGTAGAATTAAGAATGATATGTAGGGAGGTTGAATAAGAAATTTTAAGCCAAATAAATTAAATAACATTTATTTAGAATCTATTACATATTTTTAAAAATATTAGATAAGGAGAAATAGTCGATATACAAATTTTTTATAACGATATTCCATTCATTAACTGTAATATAACATGTAGGGATAGCTTGGGTTGATTTGATCAGTATTAAATATGTTTGGTAGAGATTTTAACTCGGGTATAGATATTAAGCCCTGGTAGTAATAATTTAATCTTTATTTTAAAGTTTTAAAAGTCAAAATCGAAATGTTTGTAAATATCAAGGTAAATTATATGTAAAATTAAAATTAAGCGTCTCATGTTAAATAAAAATTAAATCATCCAATTAACAAAATAAATAAAAAATATTATTAGTAAAAAAAATAAAATATACAATTTAAAATGTGATAATTATAATATTGCGAATCATATTATAACATAATATAAATAAATAAAAACAATATTAATATACAATATTAAATCATAATTTAAACGAAAATACTTAAAAAGAGAAATAATCTATTATTGAATATATCTGAAAAATTAAAAATTTTATATGAAGGAGATTTCCAGTAATGTGCAGCAGCTATACAGTTAATAAAACTAACGTAATTTACGCCAAATAGGGTGGAAACTGATTGTCGATACTAAAATGTGACCAGATGAATCCACAAGAATATTTGGCGATTTTTATAAATTTTGGGACATGTTTATTTGTGTCCTTGTTGATGTTAGATTGGGAAAGTCCTGGTCTATGCACGAGCTAGACTTGTCGCGTTTCTACCGATTTATGCTCAATGCATCGAAAGAACGTTGAAAAAATTTTTTACCTCCGAAATTTGCTTACATCATGTTATTCCATCACAAATTCCTTCCAGCAATCATGCCTGCTTCTTCTTCTTCTCTATTTAATGCCGATTTCTAGGTTGGCCAGTTTCCCCCCTAATTTAATCATTAGGAAATTTTGTATCAATGTTTTTTACAATCGGATGCCCTTCCTAACATCAATGGGAATTATTTTACAAACTTCGTGATTAATTAACCTACTAAAAAAAAAGAGGCAAGTTAAATATAAAAATTTAAAGCCAAAGATGCTTGACAATAAAATAAACGGCTTAGACATTACATAAACATATCCTTATTTTTTAAATATGGATCGTAATGATACCTTCTATTTCAAACAAGCCATTACGATGGCTATTCATCTAAAGGAATTGCATCGCTATTCATGGTTCCATATAGCAATGCAAGATCTCTTAAATGTTTTATTTAATAAAAAAATTTACACGTGTTTGCTAATTATTTTTTATAAACGCCCCCCCCCCTCAACTAACTTTAATTCTACAGAAAAGCTCCTAGGATCTTTCCTTCTTTTTATTGAGTTCATTGAATATACATAAATGTAAAGTTTATACTTTTGGCAAGGGTAGTGAATTGGTTATACTTATTATACCTTCTATAGATTACGTATGTATTTTGTGCTAGCTCTTCAAACTCGACATAGAATATCTGTTGGGAATGGGCGATCTCTGGAAGAACAGGAAACCTCCCAAGCCTTTGCAGCCTCGAGAGCTCGATTTTTTATGCGCGCCAAAAGGTGACACGTACACTTTTCCCTTTTAAATGCTATATTTATCCAATATTCAAAATAAAAGCGCGAAATAATATAATTGACCAATAGGAAAGAAAGAAATAAAAATATCTGGTCAGGGCTCTTGCTGCCAAACCTAACTAACGTTTTAACTTCATTTTTTTGATAAAAATCGTGATAGCGATTCAGTGAAGATTTGCTATAGATTCAGGTAGAACCACTACTGTCATATAACAATTTTTACGATACGATAGGCTATTGGAGCTTGTAACCAAATTCAACCCCCTTCTAATATTCGAACTGGACCTAGCATCCTTTTTTGATTCAAGTTTTAAACTCTTGTCGCTCAAGATCTTGTCTCAGTGTGACCCAACGGATGGTGGAAAAAATCTTTCTTTCTTTCAATGCCTGTTAATACCTCTAACACCCTAGAGATAAAATTGAGTTTAACTACCAAATTTGTAAAAAAAAATGTTTTTCACAATCTAACACAACAAAAAAAAATTTTGATAAAAAAAAATAAAGATTGCGCCACCCTTAAAAATTCCGCCGAAACCGACGTTGAAAGTGAGCATAGGACCGTGTGGGACTTGGAGAAATGCCTCAAAAATTTCGAGGAAAGTCTGTCTAAGCTAACCGCGACGCTGAAAAAACGAAGCGACGGGCTCGTTTGGGAAAAGGTCACCCTTTCTTTTTTTTTTAAATGAACTTAATATTATTATCCAAGTAGTTGTTAAAGGATCTAGATACAAAGTATCTAGATTCCGTATCTAGATATAAAAATGTGGATATCTGTATCTAGATATTACTTTAGACGATGTATCTGTATCTAGATCCATTTAAAAAGTATCTTTTAACAACTCTGATTATTATTATGTAGATTATATATATATATATATGGTGTATTATAAATGGGGGGGGGGAGAATATTTCTTAATTCATAAGATTCTTTCTAATTCCGAAATCGATCAAAAAATCAAAATGGGATTAGATAACTATTAAGCTTATCGAGCGACAAATAGGTAAATTACGCGCGAATAATTATTTGCCTAAGTTTAACTATGACTTTCTCCCCACCCCACAACCCATCCCAATTATGATAACAAAATGAAGAACAAAAATGACCGTTTTTAAGGTTTCGAAACGTTCCGAACCTGACCTTGGGAAGATTCCAGAATAAATGTTTCTTTCTATTTATCATTTTCCTTCGAACACTTTCCTGGTTCCTGCAACTGCAATTAAAAGAGAATCTAATATTATCATATGTTTTTTAAATTATTTAGGATGATCCTACCTGCATGAATTTCGTAGCTGCGGCCTCCAATGTTAGGTGCCATGTTTTCGGGATCAATCTACTCAGCTACTTTGACTGCAAATGTAAACCTCGTTATATATATATATAATATCAATGACATAATAATATATAGACTGACGATACATATTTAAAAGTGTACATCATCGAAAACAGCCGGAGACACCATTTTGATTACCCGTATCATTATTGAGAGGCCATTTTTTTTCCTATGTCTGACTTATTAAAGAATTGTCTGATCATCGAGATAATAAAGAATCGAGTTATCATTTTAATAGTAGTTTTTACCATGAGAATAGTCACTATATGGGTTACCAAAATGGCGGTTCCAGCTGATTCACATTCGATGACGTTTCCGAATGCATTATTAATATAATAAATTGAATTAAAAAGTGGTCGAAAAGTGCATGACAAAATTATTTTCTTAAATTTATAAATGATAATGAGATAATCTACCAAAATACTCTGAAACACGTGACAAAACAGTGTTTTTTTTTCTTTAAAGTTTAAGAACGCGCTCCTAAAAAATGATTTATTAAGACTTGAGGGATTTTTTAAATATTTGAACAATTGTTCGTGTACTCTGATTACCGATTTTACCAAATTTTTCGAGAGGATCTTAAAGTTCATACCGGATGTTCTAAATGAGTTTGGTCCAGGAGACTATTCGGGGATAAAATTATGTTTCCCGAAAGAAATCGAGCATCAGCTGCTTAAGTGCTAGTGACATTCTATCTTAAATTTAAAAAAAAAAATTTTGATAAGGGCAACTAGGTCACTTAATTCCTATTTGAGGGTAAATGCCTATAAATTGCATTTTTCATTTACTTTTTTTTATCACTTATCTCTCCTATTAACGCTCTTATCATATTTATATTATATTATTGTTATATAAAAAAATTACAATACATCGCCCTCAATTTAGCCATAGCTGGGAATATAATTCCGGCCATTTCCACTACAAACGCCATAATCGCGGGTCTCGTAGTCACCCAAGCCTGCTATGTATTATCAGGGCGCAAGGATATGTGCCAAACAGTTAGTACTTTATGAAAATATTAATAATTTTATATCGTATTTCTAGGTATATTTAAATTTTATTGGTCTAAAAATTGTTTCATAATGTTTAAAAAGTTTCAAAAAAATCAATTTTGAATCTTTAAAAAAAAATGAACAAAAGTAATTGGAATATACTTACTGGCACAATTACCTTTCCATAATAGCAACCTTATCTCTGTTAAAAATAGTTTGTACAATATATTAAAAGAAATAAAAAATATAATTGCAAATTAAACTATTGCGATCTTGATATTTACTTAAATGGTATTATTTGAATGAAGTTTTATGCCATCACTTTATCAAAAAAACGGTTCTTTATAATTGAACAAGTCATTTAGTAATGCAGCTAGGGTTTAAGAATTGAAACCTTCTAACCAGAAACTTCTAAAAAAAAATTTTTTTTAGGGAGCTCAACAGATTTAGCAAATTCGACAACTTGTTACTAACAGAATTTGAAACTGAAATCATCACAACTTTAAGTCAAGTATAAGAGTCACCTGAGCTTCGTTTTTAAAAAAAAATATATTAATAACTATTATAAAAACCCAATATTTCATATGATCTTAATTTAAATTATATTTATTTATTTATATAACCTCAATAATTCATCCAAATCTTTTATACTTATGAATTTCATAATATAATAAATAAAAAATGTTTTTAAAATCAACCATCTTTTTTCTTCTGGAAAATATAATTGAAAAACGTTCCATAAATGTCAATTACAAATCGACAGATACAACAAACTCTGTACCTTTTTTTTTATTTCTCCAGAGGTTCACAAAGTTTAAATACACAATCAAGTGGATATTTTACAGCGATTTATCGTTTATATTATAAATAAAGCTTTTTCTCAAAACGCCTAACGTTTCACAATTCCGCAATAGGCTAATAGGGACGGAAGCGCTCAGGCATCCAAACCCTCGGTGCTTTTCGTGTTCCGCCAATCCTGAAGTTTATTATAAATATAAATTTTATTAGAAAATTAAGAAGGAAAGATGGAAATAGGGAGTTGTTGGAATGATCAAAAGTTTATGAAATTCAAAGATTAGGAACAGGAGAAAGAACGATAAAACTAAGAATATTATTATATTATATTTATTAACCAAAATTTGATTTTATTACTCCACTAGGTATACCTCAAGATTGACCCCTCAACATTTTTGGTCAAAAGATTGATACAAGTTTGATATAAAAAAAAGTTTTTGATTTAATTGGAGGATGGAGGGAACGGGGGGGGGTGATAATATAATTTAATCCAATATAGTCTTCCCTTATTAAACAGTTTTTTGTATGTGTTGGTCAGAAAGAAAGGGAAGATATCGAAAGATGAGATTATTTTTTTCTGCAAAACATTTTAAAGTATACAATTATAATATGAGTCTGGAACCAGGTCTAAAGATATTTTTTTAGCTATTTCATATTATATCTTAAATCGCACTTAATACAGGGTCTTTATTGCTAAATTAAAATAATATAATAACATAGCAATTTATGCCTTCTAAAAGCAGCAAAGTTTAAGAACCGCAACTCTCCTAGCCGGAAGAAGGAAATTTAGAAACTGGATTTTTTTCTCTCTGTTGATGTATATAATTAGGCATTTTAGGCAGCATCATTATCACGTCTATACTTGAAGAACTTATGGATTGAGTCAGAGGCTTTAAATTTATACCTTCAAGATTTTTTTATTTAAAAAAAGCTCCCTACATGTAGCAGTACATAATAATCAAACTACAAACTCATAAGATTTAACATCTAATAACGAAACAAAAATATGAAGTTTCTTTTAGTGAAATAAAATATTTCTGTCTGAGTCTAGTAATACAAATAACATTTGAGCTGGAGGTTTTGAATTATTCGTAAGATCTTAGAAATACGTTATAGAAACTTAATTAGTATCCTTTCCATTAAAGAATTTTATTTTTTTAAATATAATACTACCGCAATAACTTCATCAAGCTCCATTTTGAATATTTGGTCTTGGGCATAATCTTATATTACTCCAAAAACTGCAAAGGCGAATGATAAATTATTTGAAAAATCGATTTAATTAATACGGCACTGTTCCGTGGCATCTATCCAAGTTTTATTCGAATCTCAATGGCGGCCCTTATTGAACCTATTTTTTTTGGTATGGTTTTTATCGTAATGACGTCAATACCGCGAAACTTTTTTTTCGCGAAAAGATATTATAGCGAATGGTAAATTATGTCTCAACCTATGAAGAAAAAAAAATGACTTGCCTGCCTAGCCTATTTTTGTTATGAATGGGCTAAAATTAAGAACAAAATGGCTAATTATATGATCTCCCTTATTTATTAAAAATCACATTCTTAATTATAGAATTGGCTCAGTTAATATTTATATATATATTAGTGCCCGTTTTTAAAAAATCTGATTTTGCCCGAGAATGTAATCCATTCATGTTTGGGAATACCTACCTTATGAATTTCAGTCAATTTTCCCGCTAAACCTTTAAACCCAATATAATTGGTATAAGTTTTTCTATAGATTTTTTATACAAATCATAAATGACTCAAAAGGTTAACGAGCAAAATTGTCTAGCTATTCGTAAGATAGCTCTTTCGAAACTAGTGTTGTTAAACGGGTCGATTTGAGGCCGGTTATTAAAAACGGTTAACGTAAGATAATAGCCAGGCAAATATTGGCTAAGCGTCGAGAGTTGGGCCAATAGATGTTCAATCTTATAAGCCATCTCCGAGCAAAACCTTTAGACTTGCATAATATTAGCCTGGATAAAATGTTGAGTTGACCGTTTTTATAAATCGGTTCGAATCGACCCGTTTAACAACACTATTCGTAACATGATTGAACATTTTTCCGGTGAAATCCGATTTTAGTTAACGCATTGCCGCTAATATGTATTATAATTGATGATATTTTAAATTTAATCGATTTTGTCAATTTTTTTTGATTACGCATTATCGATTTTTTTTTTAATCTTAAATATATAATATTATTATTACTATTCTTAATTACGTATTATTGATTTTTATTTAAAAAAATATATAATATTTAAAAATTAATATTATTATTATTAAGATTTTTTTTAAAAAAAGTTGTTGAAAAAAGAAAATTTTTGTTTTTAATTCATATATATTTTTTTGATTAAATTTTTGAAAAATAAAATTAATAAAGGATAAAAAAAAAGGGTTGTAAAAAAAAATAATAATTATTATTGAAAAGATAAAGAGTTGTAGAAAATTTAAAAAAAAGGGGGGTTGAACTAAGTTTTTTTTTTAATAAGAAAATTATTACCAAACACAACGTGTGGAAATAAATTAAAAGAAAAAGAGTTGAAATAAAATATTTTAAAATAAGAAAAGTGCGTTGAAAGAGTTGATTGTTTTTTTTTAAAAAAATTAAGAAATATTAAGTGTTGATTTAGGTCTAAGCCGTGGCCGAAGCCCAAGTGTTGTAAATTATCGAATAAATTTTAAAGAGTTGAATTTGAACAAAATATACAAGTGTTGTAAATTATTGAATAAATTTTATAGAGTTGAAATTGAACAGAATATACAAGTGTGTTGAGAAATTATATTGTAATTGTATTAAAGGTTGTTATATTGTAATAACAGATAATAAATTGGCATAAAACAGAGTTGTTTTATGAGGAAATTGTTGATAAATTGATACTAAATAAAATTAGAGAAGAGATTCGAAGCGATTTTGCGTAGAAAAAATTTTAAGTTGAATATATGTATAAGTGTATATGATGTGTTTTAAATGTCGGAGGGAAGGGCATGTGGCTAGAGATTGTTTAAATTGTTGACTATATGATAGTGAGGGAATGGGGCAAGAGGAATCCAAGGATATCATTGGAAGAAGGAGAAAAAAGGGGTTGAGAAATAAAGAATATAATAGAAATATTGAGGAAATAAAATGTATAAATATGTTACAAGAGGGAAGGGCGTATGATATTTGTCCCAGAGTGTTGTTAAATTTTAATGGGAATTTTGTATCAATGTTATTTGATACAGGAGCAGCGATCACGGTGATGGGATGTGATACATGTCAAAGTGTTTGGCCAGATGGAAGAATAAAAAGAGAAGAAATAAAGGTTAGACAATTCGATGGATCAGAGATGACAATAATGGGAAGAATCGAGATTGAGGTGATGATAGAGAACAGAATGGAAGTGTTGGATTTATGGATCATTGATAAAAGAGTTGAAACGGTTTTGGGATGGGAATGGATTATACGCATTGGTTCTTGGTATAGTTTTTGGGGTGTATTTGCATGGTGTGGTATATGTTTGCCCATTGTAGGTGATGATGAAAATGAAAATATGATATATTCGGGCAATCAAAGGTTGCCAGGGGTTGAGACTATATTTAATAGAGAAGAGATGGGAGAAGGGGAGGGAAGGTTCGAAACAAGGGAGACTTTTAGGGGGGAAATAGGTGAGAATTTTAGGGGGGAAATAAGGAAGAATTTTAAAGGGGGAACTTGGGGAGAGATATCGCGAAATGTCATGCAATGGGTTGCAGAAAGGAGAAATTTAGTTACGGGGAGAAGAGTTGGAGACGGAAAAATTGAGAAGTGAAAAAGATATTGAGTTAGGAATGGCTCGAGTGCGGGAAGGAGTTGATAAATTAGTTAACAAATATCAGGAGATTTTTGACGAGAGGGTTGGGATGCTTAAGGGATTACGAAGTAGATATTAAATTAAAGGAAAATTGTGAACCAAAATTTTGTGCGTTGCGAAGAATACCGTTTGAATGGCGAAAGGAGGTGGAAATAGAGTTGAATCAATGGGTGAGAAGGGGCATCGTATGTCCAGTGGAATATAGTGAGTGGGCAACGCCCTTAGTGCCTGTGAAGAAATCAAATGGGAAGCTTCGATTGTGCGCAGATTTCCGGGTAACCTTAAACCCGTGGGTTGTAGAAGTAAAATATCCGTTTCCACGGATTGAGGAGATATTGGCCAATTTAAAGGGGGGCAGATATTTTTTCAAAAGTGGATTTTTCGAACGCGTATTTGCAATTACGGGTGAAAAGGGGAGGCAGAGGTTATTGGCTATAACAATGCCGAAGGGCCTATTTGCTTTTAGAAGGTTGCCGTTCGGGTTGAGCGTTTCAGCGCCCATATTTCAGCGGACTATGGCTGTAGTTTTTCAGGGATTGGAGGGAGTGTTTTATTATACCATGATGTTTTAATAACAGGGGTTACTCTATAGCAGAACAATCGAAGGTTGGAAGTAAATGAGTATTTGTAGCGTGTTACTGGAGTGGTGGAGTCTTTTCGGCGTGTATGCAAAAGTGGGAGTCCGAAATTTTTTTTTTTAGTAATGAAATAAATTAAAAGGATTTTAGGTTGTAGTTACTCTTAGAAGAAGACGATGGAGGAATAGTAATTATGGAAATATGTTCGAATATTCGATGGATCAGAGATGAGTGGTTTGGTGAGGCCATAAGGCTTTCTCTTTAACAATTCGGATGTGGGCATTTCAGTGGCAAAGGCCAGTGAAGCAAAAGTGTCCATTGTAAGATTTACCCATAACATCTGAACGGCTTTTAAGGGGGAGTCCGAAAGGGCGCAAGCCCCTACAACCATTTTTTTTACAACGACCTTGTTCACGACTCTTTTTACTCCACAAATTGATTAATTAATTATCAAAATTAATTTCCCCAAAAAAAATTTATTAAATAAATTAGACAACCCGTAATAAGATATAAATACTGTTATTGACCACAGCGATATATCTTAATCAACTCCCTTTATATCTAATCCAAATGATATATTTAAATCAAGTCCTGTAATCAGACAACTCGTAATAAGAAAACCCTACGCATTAAGATATATATGTCTATATCGAATACGATTATCCAACTCTGTGTCCTTGGACATTAAAAATTTCACAAAGAGATAACTCTTGTTTTACCTCCCCCATTTTTTTTTATATTACAGACTTTTAGTTAGGCTTGCATCTCTTTGTCCTTATATATTACAAATTCACAAAGATATAACTCTTGGTTTCACCCCTTTTCTTTTATATATTACAACTCTTTATTCCCGATATTTCACTTCTCTCTCAACACTTCACCTCCCGATCTCAACCGCCCCGGTTCAACTACCCCCGTATTTGATCGGAATGTCTTATACCATCTCTTCCATCCCCAAACCTGACTTTATATAATCTGCTCCCAATTTTCTCCATTATTATTCCCAACTCCCATTTCCTTAAACCTCCATAATTTCTGATCCACACATTTTGACCTATCACAAATTCGCGGGTCTTATTCACCACTTGCTCATCATTAACCTTTGTCATTTGCAACCCATCCGGCGTGGGCTTCAATAAATCCAATAGCATACGAGTCCGACGCCCCAAGAATTTCTCCGCTGGAGATCTTTCCTCCCCTTTTTTGCTATTATTGTAATAATATGTATTAAAATTTTCATATTAATTAATCTCTTTATCTAATTTTGGTATATACTTGTATGTTATATGTTACGTTATTCTTTCATAAATAAATTAATATAAACTGTAAATATTTTAAATTGATAAGTAATAGATCATCATTTTATAAAAAGGTATGAAAATTTAGCAAAAAAAAAAGATACTAGTATCTGTATCTAAGATCCTTTTTATTTACAAATATTCTATTTTTTTGAGGGATCCGCGGAACTCTGACTACGTGTCAATGAATTACGTTTAATTTTTTGGCGGTAAAATAAAATTCACGATTTTTATTTTGTTATCTATATAAATTCGATATTTTTTTCCGCATTCCTCGAATTTAGGTGCTCAAAAATGATCTCTACATGGTTCAACCCGACATCACCATCGATGACGGGAAAGGCACAGTGCTCGTTTCCTCGGAGGATGACGACACTTTAGGTTTTCTATAATTGTCACCTGTTTATTTTTTAGGAGACGAAAAATTTGCTAAGAAGTCTCATAAAAAAATGGATGCACGCCGAGGCCTGTCTACAGTCCAATTTTTTTAAAAAAAATCTAAGACACCATCTTGAAAAGTATTTTTTGGGGAATTCCAAGTATTTTAAAATTTAACAAAAAGGGAACCAAAGCAAATTTGATTAATTTTCTTCATCATTTTGCTGTAGATTTTTTATGAAATTTATGAGGTTTCCCCCTCCCCTTAGGCATTTTGACCTTATATAAATAAATTTTTAAGTAGAACATATAGAGATTGTAATAACCAGAGTTTTTAAACTATATAGATATAAAAATGTGGGGTCTGTATCTAAATAGATTTTAAATCTTTTAACAACACTGGTAAAAACTATCATATTCTAGATGATGTCCTTATGAAGCATTTCATGGCATATTTGTTTAAAATTTATTTAGGCACTCCTTTTATCGAGAGTAATTTATATCCCAATTTTCACTTTATATAACTGGATATAAAAATAAGACTTACGTAGGCCTAATCTGATTTTTTTTTTTAAAAAAAAAACATTTTAACCACCGTTATAACCCCTTTATCCGGTCTTGTAACAATTTTTTTTTTTAAAAAAAAAAGAAAACGAAAGTAAAACCTTATCCTATTTCGGTCTCGGTGATGGCAAAAGACTCGTGTGCGATGATTACTCCCAGAATTACACCGTGAATGTCAATATCGTATCACGTGATTCTCGAGATGTTGATGGGTATACAAAACTAAAGATTTTTTTTTTTTAAAAATTTCTAAGTGTTTAAATTTCTTCATTTGGCGGGGGCGGGAATATAAATAATTACAAAGTTTTAATTTATATTCCCTGTTAGGGATCATAAATTTTTTTTAATAAACATTTCTCAATTAGGCACCCCTGAATATTTTTTTAAACTTTCTAACCTATTTTTTTTTTGTTTTAGCTTATTGACATATGTCTGTCACGAAGGGTTAGGGAGAAAGGATTATGTTTTTTTTTTGTAGCTTAATTTTTGAGATTAGTTTTATCTAATACATACAGCATATCCTACCAAATTATTGATTTTTATACAATATATATATATATATATATAGGTTTTTTTTAAAAAAAAAAAATATACTATAGCGAAGAGTACACTAAGGATTTTCAAATTCTAGGCGATATTGCCTCGATCGTGAGTCAGCCCTCTACCTCGAAGACTCTGCTAGGTATATATCTATATAATATTAGTGAAGATTTGGTTGACAAGGTAGTTCGAGCCAGGATTTGTTGGCATTCGCTTATTAGTCAGAACTTTTAAGAGATTTCAATTTCGATTCTAGCAAGCAATTTTAAGATAGTACGAAAAAGGAGAATCGCGATTTTATTTGCGATACAAATTTTTTTAATGGATGAGTTAATTTTTGGTTAAGCCCTAACTTAACAGTTATTTATACATATTCCGTTATAATTACTATACGAATAAAGAGTGACGTTCTGCCTATATGATTGACTTGGTAGTTTGCGACCCCCGAATATTTCTATAATCTCGATCATATGATTTTCCGTTATTGGACTTCTCTTCGTGATTTATTTATTAGCTTTCTAATTTATCCTTACTGTTGTCTAGACTTGACAACCTCTCTTGAGCACATTGGACCGAGCTGGACAATTTGTTTTGCATGAACAGACGATATTCGGCCTAATGTGTATTTTACATGACGACATGATGTCACCCATCATGTCAGATGGCAATATGATATGTTATAAAGGGAAATTGTCACTTTTTATTATTAATTTATTAAAGATTATACTCTAAATAAAAGTTTAATTTAGGTTCACAAAATTGTTGGCATCCACCCCCCCTTCCCCCCCCCCCCCCCCACCGCAACTGATCTTGAAATTGAAATTTAATAAACTTTGTTATTGTTTGTAACACAATCGATTCATTTTTGTTTAAAAAATTTTTTTTAAAAAAATGTTTCCTCGTGGCATCATATGCCTTCCCAGAGCTTTGTTCCTAGCAGGTTGTTAACTAAAGACCCTTCTTTATTGTAAACAGGTCACCCATTATCGATACATGTTTTATAGTGCTGTTATACGGCTCGATTGGGTCCCATTTTTAAAAACGGCTAAATCAATATTTTAGCCAGATCTTTAGTAGACGTCCGAACCATCGTGTCATCTATAAGCAAAGTCGTCAGAGATTATTATTCTGAATAAAATGCTCAAATTGAGTCGTCTAACAACACTCCATTGTTTACATAATGCTTTGTTTATTTTATTTTTTTGAAATGAGCATTAATTTGACACGACGGGAAATCCAAGATGGACACGTTTCGTTTCTTTTTTCGTAATATATTATTTTTATTATCAAAATGGTGGTTATTGAAAGGTGCTAACTTATTTAAAGCGGTCTACAGCCATTTACGGAAATTGACAATTTTTTTAGTATCGCTTCCCTTTAGATTTAACCAATAAAATCAAATCACTTTTGATGAGAATTTTTGGGGAGAGATTTACCCCGAAATTTTACCAGCTAGCGAGAAATCGCGGCGGAGAATACAAATATATAGAGCGTATTTCGTATAATTCGTCGCGAATTCGCGCTAACCATGAATGAGGGGTTAGGTCTTTTGGAAGACGGATAACGAATTAGATGGTGCATTCGTTTACTAGGCAGTTGACGTGTACCCATTAACAACATAACTTTTTAGATTGATAGGTTATCAATAAATGAAAAATGACAAACGATTAAATTATATCTAAAAAAAAATATTAATTATAATTATTACTGGTAATTAGAGTAACATTCGATCAAATTATTCGTATATGTCGAATAACCGAATGATTCAAATAATTCGAATATTTGTATATTTAACGAATCGAATAATTCTTTATATGTATGATATTTGAACAAGTTTTCTTACTATTTGATTTGAGTTATTCAAAACGAATTGGGTAGGCCTAGATAGCACCTTTTAAATATTTCATATTATTTTTTTTTCCCCCTCACATAATCCAAAAACATAAAGAAGACGATACGCAAAGATATCCCAGTAAAACTACTATCAAGAGAAAGCAACCGATTGAAAATTCGAATGATATCCATGATACAGTTAATAATAATAATAAGTATACGCCTACTCAAGAGGAAGGTACGGGGGACGATATGCCCGGCCCATCTAAGCGGTTCAAAAATGTCGAAGCGAATAAACGATCATCAACCACAGCTGATAGAAACAATTTTACCCCGTACGGCGATCGAAAGATGCTCCGCGCTTCTCTAGGAGAACAAAGAGAAGACATTATAGAGATCGCGTGCATATCGCTGAACCATCATTCCAAAAGTGTTAACTCCACCCTCAAAACTGCCCTCGAGATCAAAAACGGGCAGATGTCGCATCAAAATGGTGACACCCGTTTCGGTGAAACGGACGAGATTACTATCATAGATTAAATTAATGAATATATTTTTTTTTACGTTTTTTTCTTGTACATAATTTTATATGTGTGTGTTATCTTTTACGTTAATTTTATTTTTATAAGATGTACGGAAATATATTCGATTAACTTATTGTAACGCGTTTCGGATAGAGTTATTATCAGAACTGTTTTATAAACACTCTAATTGATCCTTTTATTTTCTATAAGAAAAAAAACGTATAATATAATATTCCTAAAATTTCAGTGAATCCTACCCTATTAGAGGTTACTGGTAGAAAATTTCTATCCGACTTCGTAATCATTTTTACCAGAGATCTTTACCCGGAAAATATATTTTCTTACAAGTTGTCCGACCTGCCCCGGCCCCGAACTTTTTTCCAATCCGAAAATCTTTTTTCGCCGGACTGCCCCAATCTCTATACTCTAGGTAAAACACTTCTAAGGAAAGAAAGAAGAAAAATCGTAATTGATAATCGTTTAATCGAAAAAACTCTAAATTTTAATAATTAGAAGTAAGAAAGTTATACAGAAATTTAATCAGAGGCGGGAGAAACACCTCTAGAAGGATATAGTTCTTTGCCTGATTATTTAAGATCAATTTCAATTGTATCGCCTAAAATTTTGAATCGATTTCAATCAGAGATTGAAGAATACTTCAAAAATTTTTTGAAGATTTTTTTTGAGCAAAAATTTTTGGAGATCATAGAATTGAAATTTGTGTTTAAATATCAAATCCTTTAAAAAAAAAATTTGTTGAAGATTTTTTGGTTCGAAAAACCTTTCAAACTAATTTAAATCAATTAATTTAAAATATTTATTAAATTTTAACCCCAAATTTTGAGTTAAGTTTCATAGGATATCACTATATAGGTGCTGGAATATGTATTTCCGGAAAAAAATAAAATCCAAAAATTATATACATTGTATGATTTAAATACTGAAAATTACAATAGAATACAACTTACGATTAATATATATATGTTAGAGGCATTAGCTCCGATTTCATAGGGGCAACAGGGACTCGCGTCGCTTTATTCTACTAAATAGATGATAATTGACCCATTAATATCAGATTTTCTTTAAAAAAATATGAATCCTTATAGTCTCTCCTGATTAGAATTCTGCAATGATTTAACTAAGAAAAAAAAACTCTTGATTTACCTTAAATAAAAAATTTCTATTAATATCATTTACGCAGCCCTCTCCCCACATCTCATTAACATGTTATGCTTTACTAAACAAGGACTCGGCATTGCATTATACTCAAAAGGTAGTAAGTAACAAAAATATTAACCTCATAAATCAAAAAAAATTTTAAAAGTGAATTATAAGCATTTTGCGATAAATTTTCCCCATAAAAAAAATCCCATTCTCATCTATATTATCATTGGAATTTGAATCTTGATGTAGTTCAATCAAGTTGCTGTTTTTTTTTCAAATGAAGGCTTGTCTTTTAACACCATATTCTATATACCAGATTAGTGTAAGGATGGTTGAGCTGGAATCTTGGGTCATTGGTGCGATAATATTGCTCTCCTAAAGTGAAAGAAATATTTTATCAATATCTCTAAGGAGACGCTCAACGAGGGGCTGTCATGCCGTAAACAATCTAACATAACAGGGGTTCTTTGGTCCATCGCTCATGCTATGGGCTCCATAACCAATGCATGTTCTTTAATAAATAAACATTTCTCTTGCTTGAGAATCGTAAATCCAATTGCATCCCAGATCTCCTCCATTTCTAAATACTTTTCAGTGAGAATATTATTCTTAGGCCATAATTTGCTGGACTGGTAATAAGAATTCCAACAACTCTCATTAGTAATCATAAGATACCTTTCCAATTTCTCTAAATGAATATCCGCGATTTTAGGCTATATATTCCGGTTAGTTAATCGATTATCCTCTTGTAATTGTTATCATTTGCCGCTTTCCTACATCAGTGCCCCTAAAGTAAAGTTTAGTTTTGTCGAGAACACCGTTAGTTTAGCCCTTTGTTAGCTTAATCATGACAAAGTTATTAAGGAATATCAGCAAATAAAATATTAAGGAGATCCAGGAACAGTTGCCTTGGTAAAGATTCAAAGGAAAAATGAGCAGGAAATTAACATAAATTCTGGTGGATGCTAATTGAAAAGGATCTCATTCATTAATAAAACGATCAAGATACATTAATTTATAAAAAAGGTATCTGCGTTACAAAAAATTTGGCACAATTTGTATCGAATCCATGATCGTCGGATCCTTTAAAAAATATGTGTTGATTATATAAGAGATGGTACCCACCTGACATGGAAGTTTGGAAATGTGTTTGTGCAATCTTTTCTTCACTTTAGGGTAAAAAAAAATTTAAAATTTTGATTTGGTGGGGGGGGGGGGGGTGAGTGGATTCGAGAATATGCCCGGGGAAATGACACTATGTATTCATTAAAAGTGTATACATCAATGAAAAACAGCTGGGGACGCCATCTTGGTTACACATACCATTATTCAAAAAATTTTTAAACGAGAGGCCAATTTATTTCTATGTTCTGACACAAACTTTATTAAAGAAATTGCCTGATCATCGAGATAATAAGAGTTATCAAATAGTAATTTGTGACATGAGAATAATTGCTAGTTACCAAAATGGCGGGTCCAGCTGATTTGCATTTAACGACGCTTTCGAATGCATTATTACGAATGCATAGTCAGTCAGATACTATTATATGTCATTGGCCTGGGGTTAAGTAGTCAATTTTTTTTAATATAAATATATGAGACTGGGATGGGAAAGAAGTTTTTTCTTTCTTTCTTTCATATAAAATATTCTTATGGGGGGAAAAAAATGTTTCCAAAAATATTTTATACTCATGGAATATCACTAAAACCCGAAAAAACTTGCCTAAATAATGCAATCGAGGAAGGTATATGATTGGCAAGTTAAGTTGTTTTAAAGGCTATTATGCAACTATAGAATTGTTTTATTTATTTTTTTTGTCGGTTTATGGGAGCGGATAGGATAGGAGCCCAAGAAAAATCTGAGGAAAATATAGATATTTAGCTATTTCGGAGAGGGAATGTTCTGGACCATAGTGTCCCTGACCAAAAAATACCGGATAAAAATACCCACGGATTACCCCAATTTTTTTAAAAAAAGTAATCTAAAACAAAACGGTTAAAAAATAATAATTTTTTTTTTTAAAAAAAAATCACCCCTTTTTTATAGATAAATAAATCAAAATTTCAAAAATTGTGATATTTGATTTTTCTGGATTACTTTTACTCGGGTCATTTATGCCCGTGATTCATAACTCCTTATCTAATAAAAGTTGGAAAATTTTGCGCATCCTATCGCAAAATCGTTCGATACTTTGTAGGCAAGTTTGCCCTCTTCCCATTCCCAATCATCGGTAGATTCCCGCGATTTTTGCTATCAAGGCTGACCCAGACCATTCCATCCGTAAATCTCCCGCCAAAATTCTCCCATAATTAGAAAGATTTGACGAAACCCCGTTTATAAATGACCCAAAGATATTGTTCTCGGCGCCTAAATTAGGCAAGTTTTAGTTTTTTTTAAAAAATAAAATTTGACAATTCGAATCAGATTGATTTATGATCGGATTGGATTCTTCAAAAAACGTGTTTTACATTTATTTTATTTATTTTTTTTTTTCAAATTTGCCGCCAAAAATAAAAATTTGATATTTTTTTTTAAAAAAAATAAATAAAATTTAAAAAAAAAATAAATACGTGATTTCTTTTTATAAAAAAAAAAATAAATTCTATAATTCCCTCCTTTTCTAAACAAAGTCAATATTGGGGGGTCAGTGTCAGTCTGTTTCCGGTCAATGTTCATCAACAAGAAATTCTAAGGATTTCATTCTTCTTTTTGTAGAACAAAGGTAAATTATATATATATTTTTTTTTAATATTAGAGGAAAATCAAAATTTTAAGAATTTTTTTGTTTGCGATTCTGACGCTTAAGTTCCTTTCATATTATAAATTAGAATTTTGTAACCGGAAACGGCGTTGATCTAAGAATAAGAGGTCTGACTCTAACCCTCACCTTCCTTACCCCTTCTTAAAATTTAGAGAAAACAACCAATTACTTTATAAAAAGCATAACTAATTTGGATATGTATATATAATGTGGAATCCATTTTTTTTCCCTTTCTACTCTCATTGCCCTTTAACGCAGCTTAAGATCTGATCCTGAACCTTAGAACCCGTGGCAAATCTCAGAATCTAGAAAACTTGAGAACCAGAACCACCATTTTTTAAGACACTCGGTACAGGAAACCATAATTTTTTTTGCTTCCATCTTTTTTTCGGACATTTTTTAAAAAAAAGAAATTAGTGCGGGTTTTTTTAGTTTAAGCCCCTGACTCGATATTTTAAGCAAACCCGATTCCGAGTCTCATCCGGTCCGCCTCGCCTTTTTCGGTTTTTATGCTACTTCGGATATGGCGGGCTGAACTCATAAGATTCGTAACTTATTTGTCGGTTTGGGTTTCTAAACAATGGCGTCTATTTACATAGATATATGGTGGGTGGGGGGGGGTAGGTGCAATATTTAAAATAAAATAATAGTATATAATATTAAGTCTAAAGTCAAAATTACTTCTTTTTAGTCAGTTCAATATTATTTTGGGGCTCTCAATAGGACTAAGAGTTGCTTTATAAGGTGAAGAATAGAGGAATACCGATTAAGCAGCTAATTAGCGCTGACTGTAAATGAGATGTTAGGTGGTGGAGTGTCACTTCTTTTGAATAACATTTAATATTGATGTTTCAGACAAAACTATTTTAATTAAGGTAATTTATATTTAAGCTAAAACTTAAAATAATAAATTAAATTAAAATAAAATAAATTAAATTATTTTATATTCCTAAATAATTGTAATTAAAATTAAATTATCAATTTCAAATAAAAAAAAAAAGCAGACGATTGCGAAATACCAAAAATAAGGATAACAACTTTGTATCATGTCTTTGATGATAAAGCTGGGTATTCTGAATCCTCATCGATTCACATTTCAACGAATAGGATATTTGGACGAAGAAATAAGTGACAACAATGATTTTTATCAAAGAAATATTATTTCGTGCAGGTAAAATGATATG